AACACCTAGAAAAAAGCTTGAAAACACGCAGGAAAAAAAAAAACAGATCCCCCAAAAGACCGTTAAAAAAAAAAAAAAAAAAGAAAAAAAAAAAAAAGAAAACAGCCCAGCGCAAAAAAAAAACTGAAGAAAAAGACTTTGGTAAAGATGAGTTTAACCATTAGGCCCAGAAGCCACGCGAAAAAAACAACGTATTGGGGAAAAAAAAAAAAAAAAAAAAAAAAAAAAAAAAAAAAAAAATACTGTTAGCCGAGGAGCATCACCCTACTCCTGCCGACTACGCTTCGCGCCGTGTGGGTTCCACGACCCATCGCTGACTCCCTGGTTTTGAGGGAAGAAGCCTTGATTGAAAGCTGGGTTGGGGCCTTGAAAGCCGCCTACACCTAGGAAAAGATATGTCAGAAAACGCACGATCATTCACCAACGACGACAAGAAAGAGCTTCCAAGACATCGAGCACAGCTGGACGTACCTTGCATGCCCATATTTCCACCCATTCCACCCATCATCGGATTCATCCCACCGGCCATAGGATTCATGCCCATACCGCCCATGGGATTCATGGCTGGCATACCCATCATGTTCGGCCCAGCCATACCGCCACCTCGACCGCGCATACCGCCAGGACCGCCGCGCATGCCACCGCCCATCATATTGCCACGGTTGTTAAAGCCGTAGTTCTGCATCCCTCCCATTGGATTGCCCTGGAAGCCTCCGACCATAGGATTGCCTTGAAAACCGCCCATTGTGTTCTGAAAGCCGCCTCTGCCCCCAAAGCCTCCCATGTTGTTCATACCGCCGCGGTTGTTGAAACCTCCCCGCCCGCCGCGGAAGCCTCCGCCCATGTTGTTCATGCCAAAGTTCATGTTCTGATTCGGAGAGTTGAAACCTCCCGATAGTGAACGGGCCTGATTGTCCTTGCGCATAGGAGCGTCCTTGGGAAGTGTGCGGAATGGATTCGTGTGAGGGTTCGTATAATGAACCATGTATTTACGTCCCCCTTGACTTGACATATTCAAGTTCTCAATTTGATGCTTGGCAGCTGTCGCAGCTTGGAGTGTGGTGAACTCAACAAACGCTTGGCTGTTATGGTTGGTAGAATTAGCAAGGCAGAACACAGAGGAAAGCAGAAAAGCAGGCCTACCCTTTGCTTTTACCATTGACTTTGTGCTCACTAAACGTTACATCCTTGAGCTCATCTTCGCACCCAGCTTCATTGATCCAGCCACGGATGTCATCGTCAGTAGTCCACCAATACAGGTCGGAAATGAGTAAGGCAGTTGTAGCGTCCGGGTCTGATGGACGATCGTCATGCTCCTTGCGCTTTACACCCTGTTGAGGCGCCGGGGCTCCTTGAGAAGCTTCTTGCTGCTGGGCGTCGTGCGCCTGTGTTACGTGTTCACCGTTGGCACCAGTGCCGTCTCCCTGCCCCTGTTGAGCTTTCTGCTCTGTACTGGGTTCGCTCTGGCCAGCGCTGCCGTTCTGCGTCTGTTCGGGTGCATCTAGGATCAGCTCCGTGTCCTCATGCTTGATATAATCTCCTTGGTCGTTGGCGTTGTAGCCGCCGCCGTCACCATAGATGTCAATATCGAAGTTATCATCTTCAGTGGCCATCGTGTTTAGATATAGATCGTGATATCAAGGCAGAATGTTGTGCAAATATACAATCTTTGTTTTTCTTGGTTTCTTCTTTCAGCCTCGATCAGTCACTGGAAGTACATGTCTGCACACACAGGGTTTCATTAGCAAGGAAAGAACATGTGTTGATTGGAAGGATTCTTGAGTAACGTTTGGCTTCCCTTGGGCAAGGGCTGTAGTGCAGAGCCAAGTAAACCAAATAGGTGTGAAAAGTGAAATGAAAAAAAAGCAAAACGTACAAGCGTAGCACAGTATAAGAAGAAGGCTCGAAGATACGTACAATCCGAAGCGAACACAGCTTCAAAAAGGAACAAAGTCTCCACCAGTTCGTAGGTTTGACAGCTCCTGAACGGAGACACAGGGCGCAGGTATTCCTCCCACTCCTCTCTTCTTTTCCGTTCCAAGTACAGACAAAATAGATATCAGAAGTTTTGATGATGAAAGAGACGGGTGCGAAGATATTTCAACAGACTATGAGGCGCTGCGCAGAGTCCCGACTGCCACAGCCTGGCAAAGGCACTTTGCTAAAACACACGAATGGTATGGATCTCTGAGACAAAATCACAGTGAGTGTAATGAGTTAGTAGATAGACTGAGATGTTTGTAAGATTACTCGAAGTTCGTCAAGGCTGTTGCAGCCCAGGCAGTGAACAGGATCTCCGCCTGATTTGTATCCCCTGCCTTGTTGTCGAAAGCGTTCGGATGCCAAGGAAGGAGAGAAAAGAACACAAGGAGGTTGACGGTCGAGGATTGAGCGAGCACTATAAGCGATTATCCCTTCAAAGGCGTGTCAGTTGGAGAACCTGGGTGAAGCGCGTTGACGGCGATAACAAGAGAGAAGCTGCAGCTTTGATCTGGATTGGAGCTTGTGGAGCTGACTTCCCCCGGCCCGGCGGAATTAAAAGTCCGAACCCCAGAAGGCCAGCTCTCCTGTTAGGGGATGATCTGTCGATTAAGCATCATCGTGGTGACTTATTATCGAGATCATCTGCTCCCTGTTCTCTCGTTCCTTCATTCCACTTTCAACTTTCCTTGCTACCTTTTCAAACTTCTCGCTTCTTGGATTCCTCTAGCCATTGACCTTACGTTTTATTAATTACTAGCCACGTCGCTTTCCCACTCACACATCACCATGTCGGACACCATTCAAGAACTCGCCGATATCCCACGCGACTTCCTCCGGGATGGCATGTTGTTCGTGCGCAGATGCACCAAGCGTACGTCTATCTCGAATAGAGCTCCGAAGTCAAACCTCATCTAATACAATCTACAGCCGACAAGCGTGAATTCATCAAGATCAGCCAGGCTGTAGGCATGGGCTTCATCATCATGGTAAGCCCTTCTGACATCTTGTCTCGTTGCGCGAAAAGTTTATGAGTCTAGAAATACTAACTGCATCTAGGGTGGTCAGTTTCCCTCGTTATAGAACATTGACACCCTATACTTTGCAGGAGACATGCTTACTTTTAGAATAGCCATTGGGTACTTCATCAAGTTAAGTAAGTATACCAAGGGTCCTGGCAAGCATGCGACGGCCCTTGCTAATTGTGCTTTCACTACAGTACACATCCCCGTCAACAACATCCTCGTCGGTGGCGCTTAAATGGAGGCGACAAATCCAAATGCAGCCTTGAAGCAGGTGCCACAAGAGGATGCTCCGAGATTACACCAAGCCAATCGTGCGGCGTCATGGTCTGAATTGAGTTCCTATCTACCGGAGACGAAAGATGAATCGCGAATATCGATATCGGGTCATGGAGGGCCATTGTTCCACCATGCTCTGGAGAGCTTGACATGAAGTTGCCGGCGAGTTATTATGCCCTTGCGTCAATTTTGTATAAATACCACGTTTCTTTTTTTTTTTATCTTGAGGCTTTCAAGAAGCTTTTCGGAGGCAAATGCAGCCTTTGTTCTTTTTACAATACATCAATTGCCATGAGACCATTTCGAGATCTCAAGATAGCGACGAACTATCCTAATGCGATTTACTAAATGAAAACTGTGAACAAATTTCTGTGTTCATTCAAGAGAGAATGTACGCTAAGGGGAGATCTACCGAAACATTGTTCTTATGTGCAGAAATCACCAAAGCTCATATGCAAGTTCCTCATCCAACGGACTCCTTCTGACAGGCCGACTTCGCACTGATTTTTCCTTGTACTGGTTGAAGTCGGGCAAGTAATTTAACTTGGAATCGTAGCTCTTCCCGATCGATGGAGTACCTTCATCATCAGCAGCACCATCGTTCCAGCTATGCAGGCTGCAGGTACCTGTAGATAAACCCCAGCCGTTCCAGGATGTTGCTAAATTACAGTCAGCATCTCGCCAGTATACTTCCAGAGTTAAGAAAATGATCTTACCAGCCAGGACTGGCGCATTGGGATGCCAACTCGCATCGCGAACGCAGGTTCTCCACAGCATCTCCCCGCTCCTACTCCTGATTTCATACGCGGTGGTGAATATGTCAGGATCGCGGGGTCTCGAATTCAGAGTTGCAAGTCCGACATCAATAGTGCCCGCAAGCGTTGCGTCCAGGTTGTAAACATACACTTTGCCGTCTTCACTTCCAGTGTAAATGTAGCGCGAGTTCGTGCTACCGGGCGGCGAGAAATGGCAACGGATGAGTGTCTTGAGAACCCGGTGACCTCGGAACGTGACAACGGAGCAGTCGTGTGGATGTGGCTCGTAGTAATCTTCGGGATAGGGCTCGAATCTATAATCATAACCGGTGGTGTAACTGTTCACGTCGATGTCGGCAAACTTCGCGGTAGTCGTCATCTTTCTCAAATCCCACAATTTCATCGTCTGGTCCTTCCCATTGGAAAGTACATATCGGCCGTCTCCTTTGCTGTCGACATAGGTAATACCTTCCGTATGACCTATGAATACTCCAGCCTCACGGCCGTCGCCCATGGACCGCCGGTCCCAAACACGAATCGTGGAGTCATCCGAGCCAGAGTACAAAATGTGAGGCGACGATTTATCGCCGAAGCAGACGGCGTTGACGTCGTCTTCGTGCTTCTGTAGCCTTAGAACAGACTGCCGTGTTTCGATGTCATAGACAATAACGGAATTGTCCGATTTGCCGGCAACGATCTCGCGTCCATCACCTGAGAAGCGAATTGACCATATCTGTTACCCGGTCAGCGACTAGGCGGCGGTCATTCCATGAGGATGCGTACCCCAGCATGCGAGCTTTCGTAGAAGCCCCGACCAACTCGGCCTGAGGATAGATCCAAAACAGCGGGGTCAGATTGATCAGCTGGGTCTGTCGGTGCAAGGCAAACGATATTTCTAATGGAGGTGTATGCCAAGAATTTGTTGTCTGGACTCAAGCTCGCATCGGTAATGGTCCACTGGCCAAACGGATAGTCGACAGTCTTATAGTATTTCCACTCGAATGGGTTAGATGTATCGTACATCCGAACTTTGAAGTCCTGCGCACAGCAGAAGAAAAAGTTGCCGTCGTCGGAGAATTGACCCGAATAGCATCGCGAATCATAGTGAATGATCTTGTCTGCGGCGGAACCAGGTATCAAATCCTAAAAGGCCAACCCCCTTAGTACAAAGCTCCTCTTCCATCACACGAGGTCGAGGACTTACTTGTGCAGTTGACTGCACAGCCAGTCTCTGCCTCCCAGACACGTCAACTCCCAATTCTCTCCACATGATCTTTGTCGCAAGTGTCTTTTTGCGTTTCTTCAGCAAGTCGACATAGTAAGGATTCTCTCCGAAATCACCGGATCCCATGAGTTCCGTACCCTCATCACTTGGGACCTTCGGTAAATTCTCTGCTCCGGAACGTCGTGATCTCCGTGAATATCTCAAGAAGCCGAATTCATCGTCGTCTTCATCTTCATCACCTAACGTACCCCCTCGCCACCCATTGTAGTGAAGAATATGTCGCAGACCATTGGAAGCTAAAAGATTCAATAATCGAGCAGCCGATACTGCTGGCATCAGTCAGTGTCGATGACTTGTGATAAAGAAGCAGATTCGAGTAATCGTCGGGTAAATGGTACCTCGAGTGTGTCTACCTGCTTGAGTTTCTCCGCCAGTATTGTCTCGATCAGGATCATCCATAGAGAACTCAATATGTATGTTACCTAGACGCAGGTGAGGGTCTTCAAATTGTTAAACCCAAGAATTAGCCTTATACGGTAGATGAGCAGTCCATCGCGGGGAAGCTACCGAAGTGACCTTCACCATCTTCATCCTCATCCTCATCTTGACCTTCGTCTTCATCCTCGTCTCTATCCTCCGTAATCTCAGACTCCGGTTCATAATCCATGTCCTCTTCCTCCTCATCCTCTTCAAGCCATTCTCTAGCCGGGTGCCACACCGTACCAGAAACTCTCCGAGGCGGAGACTCTTCCGACCAGTTACTGGCAGCGGAAGGTGAACCAGATGGATTCATAGTCGCAAAGTATGTAATCAACAGATGCAGCGGGAGGCTATATCAAGCGTATCATACCGATATCCGAAATCCATGCAGTTTCAAATATCGACACAAGAAAGAAGCAAGTGCCCATGTCTTGCAGATCTGATCGATCTGAGTTGGGGCATTGTTGCTTAACTTGCTTATCGATACGCCGCCGACTCCGGGTTATGTCATCCGGAGGGTTCTCCGCTTTCCAGCTTGTTAAACCCTATCTCCGAGTATTCTCCACAGGATGAGTACTATCAATTATAATATTAATACAAAAACCTGTAACAGAGAGGGTCGGAATATTTACAAAGGTGACTTAGCATGAATCAGATTAGACCTTGAGAGAGAATCCAACGAGTATAAGAGCAGAGAGTTCATTCTGGACCAAACCCAGTGTCTGGCCTCGCATTGGTAGGAGAAGGTCGAACTCTGATTATGGCAACGCCTATCGCTAAGGACTCAAGAACTATCGCAGGAACCTGGGCACGGGTCATAATTGTTACAAAACTACTCCGTACTCTAGCTAGAAAGGACCGTCCAGACACCTCTTTTTGCTTTACTCTAACCTACCAAAATCACACACGATCAGAACCAACCGGACGGTTTCGAGATGGCCGCCAGAAATGCTAGTGTTTGCAACATCCATCAAGAGATGATCTCGAACTTCATCTGCAAACTCTATTATAACTTTATGCGAAGATAGCATGGAATTTCTCGTCGAACTGCTCCTTCAACTCGCGGAAGGCGTTCAGCACCTCCAACGACACCATTGAAGCTCGCTCCTCATGCAGAGTACCCGGAACCTCTGGGGTATCGTCGTCTTCGGAGATAGAGTCACTCTTGTCGCTCATACCTTCGTCCCAATTCTCCAACACATCCTCGCCAGTCGTGGCCCTGGGAGTTCCAAGTGATCGTGGCGTCTGAGAGACTTGATTATCAGTGCGCTTCGACGCGACCTTTTGGCCCTCAGACTGAACATCGACTATTTTGTCTTCTTCATCCTCGACCGAAAGAGTTGACGAAGAATCATCAGGTGCGAACATGTCTTCCAAACATGAACTCTTTAGGTCGGGATCAAAATAGACTTCCAGAGAAACAATGATCGTAGCTAGGATGAGGGAGAAGTCATTCAGCAGAAACCAGGTGTCAGAACGGGAGATAAAATTGGCGACCTCAAGAGGTTCCACACATCCGTGACAGAAGAAGTCATACAGATAGGCATTCAAAGGTGCCATACCCCTATCCGGATAAACATCAAGGTGTGGTATGACACTCTCCTCGAGAAACACTCCCGACCGGACCGAATTGCAGAGGTCTTTCATGCTCTTAAAGCGATCATCGTGCCCCGAGAGCCCAACAAAAGGTGAACGTGATTGATTCGCTTCCAGTACCCCCAGCAAGCGACTGAGCTCTTGGTTCCCACTACCCCCGACTGGCACTTTGCTAAGCGGCAATTCGCACTCCGGTTCTTTCAGGTGCTGTTTGACGAATGTCTCAACGTACGCCGTGTATGTCCTGAGAATGCTCTGGTTATGAGCTCGAATCGCCGATACAGCATTTGGTGGCAGCGGTGGCAGCATCACGACCGAGGGAGACTTCAATTCTTGTCTCCGGGTCAGAAGTTCCTCGTATCGGTAGCCGAGAGACTTTCTTCCAAATAGATGGGCTAGCACGATCATCAACGTCCTCAGTTTCTTCTCGGTGTTCTTCCGTTGCTGCTTGCACAATTCCTCAAAGCAGCCTGCACGAAGAAGAGCATGAAATGCGAAAGCACTATTTTCAGTGTAGTACAGATGCGCAATGCTCGAAGCCAAGCGAACCGGCTCTCCATGTCTCCCGAGGAGACCCTGGCGTCGCAGATATTCAATGGAAAAGCGAAGGTGATGAAGTACCTTGTCCTTCGACTCGATACTTCCGAAGTTAATGCGTGGCTGAGACAACAAAGAATTAATTGCCCGTACTGCATATGGCGACTCCTTGGAATTATGAAGCAGGATGAACAGTCGAAGCACAAGACTGGTCGTGATAGGGAAATGCCCATTCAGATCCGGGAGCCGTGAACTCATCAATTGATATGCTTTGTGACGGGGAATGCCATGGAAGATGACATTTCCGAGAAGATCAAATCCTCGACGCCCTGCTCGACCAGCAGCCTGACGGAAATTGAGCGCGGTCAAGAAGACGCTGTCACCACAGAACACCACGGTTGAACATGGCATGTTGATACCTAAGGCCAGCGTTCCAGTGGCTACAACGACACGTAAGAATCCTGCGCGGAATAGCCTCTCGACGCTGTGCAAATAGTCAGCTAATATCCATGCTCATATCAGGGAGGTCCCTTCTCATACCACTGGCGGTAACGACGGTTCAATCCAGCATGGTGGACGCCTACTCCTCTCTTCAGAGCTTCAAGCAGCGAAGGCTTAACCTTGCGCCCTTTCATCATCTCTATCTCCTCGAGAAGGTCTGTCCAGTCGAATTTGTGAGTATCAGCAAATGAAAACTGCTCTAGAGGCCTGTCCGGGTCAAATCCCTTGAATGGACTATTATCTTCCTCCACATCATTTGCGGTGCTCTCATCTTCGTCTCGAGATTGTTTAAGATTGCTCTTTTTCTTGCCTTTCTCCTCGGTTTGAGCTTTTCTGGACGCGAGTCTCCTGTATTTCTCGTACTCCGCCATCTTCTTCCTCCATGATGCACCACTCTTGTACTTGTCCTCAGCTTTGACTAGATGCCCTAGAGTCGCGATCGCGATCTCTTCGCATGTCGTCCGTGCATAGTTAAAAAGCAGAGCAGGTAAGGCATTTTGGGAATGCAGATCCACGAGGAGTGGGAAGACAGATGTGCCTAGCTCGTTTTTCATGAGTTGACGTTCGGGAACCACTTGGTCGCTCTGATTCCCTTCTTTGCTTTTTGAGATCTGCAATCCTTGAGCAGTTGCGAAGATAGCCTCCAGCTCGCTTTGCACCATTTCAAAGGGAGAGTGACTATCTTGCATCCAAGTCGATAGAAGCTCCTTCAGCTGTGCCTCCCATTCATACACATCGCTCCGCCTAATGAACGATGGAAGGGCAAGTTGTGGGCTCAGAGATTCTGGCACGAGAAAATCGATTGATGAGTGCTTTACCATGCATCTCCAAAGTGAGTAGCAATCTCTTGGCTCAAGGGAAAGATCCTCAGGCATTTGCCGCTGCTTGCTTAGAAGGCTGGTGATTGGGTGGAGAGGCTGCAAGCCCTCAATAAATTTGTGCTCAAGGAGGCTCTTGTGCCGCGATCGGGAGAGGCCCTCAAAAGGACGATCTGGCGGCACATAGAAATACTTCCGAAGATCCGAGTAACGCTGCGTATGCTGAATCAGTTTGAGAGAGATCCCCATATTATGCTGTGTTGACTGAAGCCAATCAGCGAACTCTGATGGGTTTCCCACGGTTGCGGAAAGAGCGATGATACGGCACGGAGCGAGCAATAAGAGTTGCTCCCAAACCAAACCATCCTCGGTATGACCTATGGAGTGAATCTCATCAAAGATGATGCATTTGACTCTAGGAGCCCATGTGGTGGCGTTCGATGGGGACAAAAGCATCTTAAAGATACTGTCAGTCGAGAAACAATATAACTAGAGGCAAAGAGTGATAGCGGAGTTTGTTGCACTTACAATCTGGAGAAAGTGAGGCACGGTCACCAAGATCTGACACTTCAAAGGATCATTTATGCGAACATCGCGAGTGGAGATAGCCCAAACTGTCTGCTCAGGGCCAGGGTACCTCTTCCGAAAACGTGCATGGATCTCTGCAGCGATCTGGTTCACCAGCGCCTTAGTCGGAGCTACATAAACTAGGACTCCAGTGTCGTCTTCCTGCAACACTTTCGACATGGCATAGAAGCTGATGAATGTCTTTCCCGCACTGGTTGGGGCTACGACAAAGATACTATGATTCTTGTCAAGCTCATCGAGGACTTCCTTCTGCCATTTGTCCGGTTCAAAGTCCACGCGGTCGTCGGGTTGTGCGCCAGTCTGACGATCCATAAATGGCCCGCAATAGAGCAGCTGAAAGGCTTGAAAGTCAAGTGGTGCACCCAGCTGTCGTGGTTTAATGCAACTGATATCGAAATGAAAACACAATTGCCGACTCGGAAGAGAGGACGACGGCGATGGTGTATCGTGGATGCTTAGTCTACAGCATATGTCATGAAACATCGAATACGACTCGCGAGTCATGCAGTTGACTTTGTGCCGAAGAGTTCGGATTTGGTCCCAGACTTCTCTTGCTGAAGCGACGAGCTTATCCTCTTCTTGAGCTGAGGTCTCTTTCTGCCACAGAGCCACAAGTAGAGTCAATAGGTATAGGCGGAGTTCGGGCTCAAGGAAAGCTCTCTTGCGGCTCTCCTGCCTGTCTAAGAAAGCCCTGATATCGTCCACTTGATGACGAAGGTCTAGCTTTCGCAATTCGAGAAGCTTGCGTTGCCATGAATCTATCCAGGATGACTCTTCTTTCTTGGCCCTTTCAACCTCCTGTTTCTCTATCAACTGCTTTGCTTTAGACGATAATTTAGCTGCTTTCGGCTGCTTTCTGGCAACTCTCGATGACACGATCACCTGTTGTTCGAGCGCATTGCCCTTGGCATTGGTAAGGCTGGCTGCGTATTTGGTGAAGTCTCGGAATCTTTCCTGATTCCGTCGCGCAGGGTTGTTCCATTTGGTTGTTGGCTTTTGAGGAAGCGTCCTGTGCTTGGAATCGAGCAACCGTCGGTTATGCCAATGCGTCTTATCCTCGAAGCCTTGCTCGGGATATTCTTCCTGCGAGTTCTCAATGATGACGTGCACACTGGCGAGATGTTGATCAAAGGTTGGATGCTCGAAAGGCAACAGGGTATACTTGCTTTCCATGTCTTCATCCTCTTCATTCGTTGCATCGTCTTCATCCGTTTCGTCCTCTTGATCTTCTTGATCCTCTTGATCCTCTTGATTCTCTTGATTCTCTTGATCCTCTTGATCCTCTTGATCCTCTTGATCCTCTTGATCCTCTTGATCCTCTTGATCCTCTTGATCCTCTTGATCCTCTTGATCCTCTTGATCCTCTTGATCCTCTTGATCCTCTTGATCCTCTTGATCCTCTTGATCCTCTTGATCCTCTTGATCCTCTTCATTTTCGTCATCGAAGGCGGGCTCCTCATTCTGCAATGACGCCATGTACGGATAGTTCTGAGAGAAGAACACTTCCGGACCGCCTAGTTCTTCAATACGATTCAAGCAGGCCCATATAGTGTGCCAATCCCCACTGATGAGGCTGCTTAGATGAGCTACTTTCTCCACCATGGAATACGTAGCGCAAGACCTAAAAAGCCTGCCATCAAATAGGTCATGCAGATCTCCCCAGGATGTGTTTGTGTTTAAGCCTTTCCATTCGTTCGTTTGAAGAATGGTCGTTGCAGCGATGCTGAATTTATCCACGAACTCCTTGTACATCCCCTCGTTTGGTATCTCGGGCTTCGCAGTCCTTCGTTGTTGCAGAGATAATCTTTTGAGACAAGCCAGATGCAGTAACAGGATAGCTATCATCTGCTTGGATGCTTCATTTTTTCGATTCTTGGCGAACAGTACCGATGCGACTGCCACAGTCAAAGCCTCCCTACTTGTCATTGTCGAATTGACCTCTTGGCCGTTTGCTTCTGCAATAGAACGTAGAACACGGGTGCACTTAGATAGGTATGGCGGATTCGTGATCTTGGGCTTTGCTTCTGATTCAATGAAAGCGAGCGTGGAGGAGCTCGCTTGAATGACTCTTGTCAATATCTATACTCATATTACTCCGTCAGTAGCAGCCTCCTCTCTTAGGCTAACAGGAAAAAGACACAAACCTTGCTATCACGCCACTCGATCTCATTGATAATTGCCACATCCAGACCAAGAGTCATCATGTTACAGATCACACGAAGTGCATCGTCAATCACCGGCCGGCGTCTATTCTGCAGCACTCCATTGTGGCACATGACGAAGTAGACACTATACGTCTGAATGTACTGGTGGAATTCAGGAGATCCCACAGAGGGAAACCGAAGAATTTGAAGATCAGGGTACTGATCCTGAATATGCACCTTTAGATGCTGATAGATAATCTCCCTCGCCAACTGATACTTGGAGCTATTCTGGTGACCTGAGGCTGCTTTGGTAGAAATCCCTTGGTTCTCTGCGTCATCAATCAGTAAATATCTGCCCGCGCTCCTCCAAACCAGCAGGAGAATGTTAACCGTCAAAGAAGACAATGTGAAAATTGCATTTCGTCGACAAGAACTTAGAGAGGAGTCTCTCAACGTTGTAAACCGCCTGCAGGAGCTGGAACCCAGCTGAGAGCTTGTAAGCAACACTGAAACCTCAAGATTTGTGTCGTAGAGAGCGTACCGTTGAAGTCAAGAGCGGGATCGTCAAGACACTGAAGCACGACGGAGTCTCCCTCGAGACAAAACAGCTCTTGTCCTGCGTAGTCGCTCACCAGATCGAGAACCTGGGAGCTAAGACTCGCATACCAGTCTCGTATGTCGTTCATCGCGGTTGTTGCATGAAGGCCAAGTGCGTGGTGAAGGCAGACAGGGGGAGGAAAGAAGAAAAAGAAGTTTGGGAGGATAAGGAAGAGGGTGAGTAGACAAGTGAAGTGAAGGAGGGGTGGAGGTTGAGATTGTTTGTTTGCTACAACTGCTATAGGTTAGCAGCACAGTTCAGTGAGACAGTTAGAGGCTTATGGCGTAATCTGCATTTCCGCAGAAAGGCCTGATGGAGTGCTTTCCCACGGTACTATACTTTTTATCTTTTTGTATTTACTGTGTCATGGGCTTACAGTAGACCATAATAGCATAGCCATGCTAATAAATAAGGTAAGTGAACAGCATCTTACAGAAAGGCCTTTGCACAAAAATGACTTGATACTGAATCCAGACGTAAAGTGATATGAGAGGGTATAATTTCGTTTCTGAGATCATCGGGTTAATAACAAAAGATCTAAATAAGTAAATAAATGATTTTTGCATTTCTACGTCCGCTTCATTGAGGCTCTGCTCTGCATATAATGCAGAGGGAGAAGGGTGAGAAGAAGAAGGAGGAGGAGGAGGAGGAGGAGGAGGAGAAGAAGAAGAAGAAAGACAAGAAGGACAAGAAGGACAAGAAGGACAAGAAGGACAAGAAGGACAAGAAGGACAAGAAGGACAAGAAGGACAAGAAGGACAAGAAGGACAAGAAGGACAAGAAGGACAAGAAGGACAAGAAGGACAAGAAGGAAGAAGAAGGCCAAGAAGGAGAAGAAGGAGAAGAAGGAGAAGAAGGAGAAGAAGGAGATATGGTAGACAAGGTAGACAAGTCCGACAAAATTGAGGCCTGTCACGCCAATTCCTGCTCCGGCAGAATACAGGAGCGATTCCCGGAGTCGTATGAGCATCAAAAGAGCATATCATCATTCAACCAACATTGTATTGACTGGACGGCTCGGAGCTCCAGCGAACTTCGTCAGAATGTGGATCAGCATCATGAAAAAGAATTGAAGATTATCCCTCCCCCCATCATTCAAGTTGGGAATATCAAGTGCCGTGGAAGCGAAGCCCCCAACAATCATCCCCGCGTTGCTGATCATCATACTCCATAGTTGTGAAAGTGAGAGGGTGCCATCGAGGATAGGAAGATCGACTGTGAATTCAATGAGGTCAGGATAGTCTGAGGTAGATTCAGATGTTCCAGGTTCATCCGGTTCTTGTGCTTCAAGCTCAATGACATTCGCAACCGTCGTTTTGAGTTTGAGCAGCTTAGCAATAACGCGGAGCCGCGTCTGAAGCATATGTGGCCTCTTTCGCAATATTACTGTTGTATCTGTAGGGCCTGGATTTGACGAATCAGGCGAGTCATCCATGAGCTGCATTTGGATCTGTGTCCTGAAAAGAGGTAACTTCTTCCGTGCTATAGCGACATCGTAGGGGACATCTAATGTTTCTTTCAGTCAGCGACAGCTCATGAGATGATAGGTTAAAGCTGTGGACACTCACTATCCAATGCCAAAAGGTCAAGCGCATACGAACCGTAAGCTATTAAAAGAGTGGCCGGTTTCCTGATCAGCGTTGTGCGAAGCTGGGTATCCATTCCCGACATGAGCATAGTGGAATGAGCAAGGATATCATGTCCCTCCAGCGGGCCCAGGGCTGCCCCGATGTTATAAGTACCAGGACGACCAGGCGAATGGCTGCCTTGACTGCACGGCAGGAATGGCCGCTTGCCATAACTCTCAAGCTTGGCAGTAAGGATACCCAGACAGTTACTTTCTGGGTTCTTGTGAAGGACCAACAATGACATTGCCCTCTGGGGAACAGCGTAAGGGAAGCCAGAGGTCGGATGAGCAACAGAAACAACGGTCTTTGTGCACGTTCTGAGCTCTTTCTTTAACTCTTGCAAAAATAGTTCATGCTGAAAGTCTTGCGGTGTCAAGTCCAACATTCCACCAAGCTTCGAGGATGGTGATAAAGGCCTCCTAGAAATATCCGCATGATCTGCATGTCTTTCTTGATGCCAAGGGCGCAACTGGTCGCTTTGCTGGCGAGTCTTACCTGCGCAAAGATGGCATCTTCGCTCAGCTCCATTGGAGGCTTTACAATGAGTGCAACCCTGCATGGCATGGCCGCAGGTCTTGCACTTTGTCTCGCAGAACTTCTCAAGATTCCGAGACTGGTTCTTTCGAGGATTCTCATCTGTTGATCTAGGCTGTGCATTTGAGGTGCAACTTTGGCCAGAACCAACCGATGAATGCGGCGTATTTCCGGCGGCAGCCCATTGCTGGAAGCTGTCTAAACTAGACTTCCTCTCGGTAGAGGCTGGTGAGCTCTCTTTCAGGACCGAATTCAGGGCGCGGTGATACTCTTGTAAGCTTGTTGGACTACGGACGGGTGATAGATGCTTGGGACCGTCTTCATTTGGTACAAAACACGGCTCTGAGTTGGGACGAGTACGAGCACGAGCGTTGATTACAGGCGGGGGACTTTGCTCGGCTTCACCAATAGTATCGGCTCGTGTATTGTGTTGAGAAAGACTGGCAGCATGGAAACTGAATTGCTGGCCAATATTGTTGAAGTCAAAGTCACGCCCACCCATGTTGTCTCCTTCAAGTGAAGACGACGGGGGGAAACCTGATCCATCATTACCGCCGGGGCCAAAAAACTGCTGGCCGCCAAAGTCTGCCCCGTCTCCGCCGGTGTTTCCGCTGCCTCTTCTGCTCTGGCTTGCACTGGTGTATGCAGAACTTCCACCAGGGAGGCGGCAGTGCTTTGCGATGCACTCGAAATATCTCTTCCATGTGGTCACTTGCTTTGGACAAAGTCCACACGTTTTCGGAGGGGAGCATGGCCGTGCTAGGTTGTCGAGGCAGCCCTTGTTCAGTAGCGAAAGAGCAAAAGGACCGTGTTTGACTTGCAAATGGCCACGGAATTTGTCCCTTCTAGGTGTACTGAACGAACATCCATCGAAAGGACAGTAGTATTTGTGCTCAGCTTGGTGAGTAAGGCTCACATGCCGCCGAAAGGTTCCACGAGTTCCGTACACCTTCCGATTGCCTTGGCTGCAGAGCTTGCAAAGGTACCTATCTCGTGGAGAAGGTATATTGGGAGCATCTAGGTCAAGCCTCTCTTGTATTGAGGTGTCGAGTTTGCAGAAGGTGCTTTTAATGAAACTTCTCAGGTCGATCAGCTGGGAGTGATTGAGTTCAGGCAAGGCTTGCAGTGCTAATGAGTCCCATAATTGAAGATCGTTCTTAAGTTGATTTACCTTCTCAAGGGGACTGTGGACAGCATCTTGGGGCTCCAGCGGCATTCGCAAGGGCCCTGCATCCAGAGATCTGATAGTCGGCCATTGACCAACATAATCACCTTGTGACAGCGGAACTTCCGGTGGAACCAAATTGCTGCCAGCCCAGTCGAATGCCTCGAAGTTGTAGTTGGTGCCTGTCTCACGGCTGGACAACTGGGCTGGCCCGCCTGCACTGCCAATGCTCGACGGAGACACCGGAGAGAAGAATGAAGTTTGGCTACGGCTCTTGCCAAAGAGTTAGCTAGCTGTTTTTGTGGATCAACAAAATGCACTTGTGGTCGTTCACTCACAAAAGACATGTCGAGGGTCGGAGCTGGAGCTAGATGACCCCCCGGTGTCTGGGCGTGACGGCCAGTGTAATGGACGGCACGCCAGGGAACATTGGAGCCGATGTATATATTGTCTTGCTCGTAATTGAAGTCATCATTGATTTGGCCATTGTTCAAAGGATCCATGATAAAAAATCTTCCAACAGAGGTTCAGTAATATGAAAAGACAAGATGCCAGGCTGTCGATGAATCAAAAACAAAATAGTATAGAGACACACAAGAGGCAGACGCAGGGAAATAAGTTTAGGCTGAAAGGCCTGGCATGCAGTTATGCAAAGAGCAGCAATTCTAATGATACATGAACACCATGCTGATGTACAAAGAGAGTGTCACTAAGCGCTGGTAAAAGAGTAAAGAAGATGCTCGCAAGGACCGAACGTCTCTCTTTGAAGGCACTGGGTAAGTAAACTCGAAAGATGGCGAGAGGAAGAGAAACGATGGGAAATGTCATCTTTAAGAGGAAGCATCAGGTACTTGTCTTCCTGTCACCATTTACCTGGGTGAAAGCACCCTCGGGGTTGCTGCCATGGGAAGGTTAGTAAGGTACTCCGTACAGCCCACTAGATCATGCCTGCCTGACTTTGCTCCATGCAGCTTAGCGTGAATACAGGTAGGGAGATGAATAAGCCCATAATAACCCAACTAGCTGGGAACAGGTATACCAACATCCTTGTTTGTTTAACAGAGAAAATTTGCCTGAGCACCTTTAGGCGAAGAACAGGTGTTCGAAGGGTGTTGACATTTGACAGCAGAAGCTAGAGATCAGAGACACTGCCGCGGAGATCTACAGGATAAATTATCCTGATAGAATTGCTTGGTGGGACATGATTTCAAGCGTCTGTCCGGAGTATGAATCTCACTTGGCTGTGGACTTTGATTGTGTTCAGGGGATGCAAAGGATGACTTCGCCTCACTCCCTGCAAGAAGTTTTACAGTATTTTACTAGCAAGGATGAACTGATACGTATCAAATTCAGATTAGTTAGACGATCTGAGGTACTCACACGGCGAATCTCCTACACTCGGTACTTCATTCATAGTGCGAAGTATCAACTGCAATTTGCTTTACTTGCAGGAGTGCTTGAAATACAAGCAGAGCCTCAGTCACCCCACCATCTCAGACTTGCCTCTCCCCTAGAATTCATTGCAAATCTTTGCGACCTCGGCAGCAATGGATACCACACCGAAAACTCGTAAAGTTCTAGGTCAAAGCGCCCCATAGATGCTTCTTAATATGTTTATTATTTCTGTCCAGCCATGCTTCGGCATGATCTTTGTTCTTGGGCAAGTGTCGGTGTAACAACCATGATGATATGTGCTACATGCAAGCTATGAAGATCGAAGAGTGAGTACTAATCATTCAGCATAGTGACAAACTCGTAGAGATCCTGTGGCTTCGAGTGGCTGATGATGCGGAGTAATATTACCTAATTGAAGAAGATTGTGACGTTGAATAGATCCTGACAATCGAAACAATCATCCTCCAACCTCAGGTGTAATCACTATTTCAATCTGGTTTCTAGTAAGACGACGAGGAAACTTATTGCGATTAGGATCAATGCCCCCGAAAAGAGTCTTGTAGAAAACGGACAAAAGGTATCTAGGCTCGGAGTCAACAAAGCGGTCACACTGTCAAATTGGTTGGGAAATTTATCAGCTCCAGTGACGTCCAGTCATCGAGTATCAGTACCTACCTAGGTACCTTACCTTACCTAGTTACCTACAGTACCTACTATGGTACGCTAAGAAAAGATTATTTGCTTCTTCCCGAATCCACTGTGACAAGTTACCTGTCTAGGTAAAGGAATTTTCAAGGGCACCGGTCAACAGTGGGACTTTTCCGAACAGTCTTTTCTTAACCTACGTACATATTAGGTAGGTAGAGGTAGTTGGCACCCGTACGTACCTTACCTTACTAGGTAGACAAGTTCTGCAACAAGTCAGTACTCGACACCTAGGTAGTACCGTAGTACCCAGTAGCTGCTTCTGTGCACAGCCACAAATAATGATCACGTTACATCCGACTTGTTCCTCATTGCCTCACTTTGCGATCCATCGCTAGTGGTTGTTTGAGGCTGGCTGGATTTATCTCTGTCATCAAAAAGGTCTGTCGGTTTCGATGCGGAAACTTGGAACGGACTAAAGGTACGGAGATAGAGGTGGAGACCTGGGACTCCGGGGCCGGGAGGCGGGTCATTCCCTGGTCTACCGAATAGCCATCTGATGATCTGAGGGACTAAGACAGTCCGGACTCCACACTCATAGTCCAATCATCCCCACAGTCAGGTGTCTGGACTCTACCTGGAGAATAGATATCAGGGAATTGAACTGAATAGTTGTACCTGATCTACTGGGGTCTAGACTCTCGATGCTCGAAATTAATGACAATGGGATGCACGGAATACTTCCAACTTGTGGGCTCTAACGGGGAGCTCTGAAGATTGCACTCCGTACGGACTACGGAGTAAGGTAATCTAACCCGATCAGCGGATGCGACCCTCAACATATTCTGAGGTCTGGAACCTGGACGGTCAAGCAATTTCGACGATTTCTTTGTTGTTACACTATAGAATCCACCTATGACAACAAGCCACAATGGTGGCGCAGCAGTCATCATTGCTTTTTCAAGGCACACGCCTCAGGCAAAGCCACCTCTCATTGTAGCAATGAATCCTGAAAACGCACTTTCTGTCTCTAGGATTGAAAATCTATTTCGGAAAATGATACCTCCTTCGTAAGAGATGGCTAAATTTCAATCTCAACGACTTGTAAATCTTCTAAATCGCTCACCAGATCAAGCCTACGAAGGATCGTCGAGGCGGACTCTCTCTTTGTTGAGAATACTTGGCAGCGTGCCAGGCACCTCCAAGGCTCCACTAAGAAGAAGCTAATATACCAGATAGTGACGCTGCGCAAAGTCCTACGCTCCATCATCGATCAACTCATCGTCGCTACGGGTACAGCAGACTAAAAGGCCTCCCGGCAGATTCTATCGCGTAAACGGTTTGTCTCGGAGGTCTGAGCAGTGGGAGGCTGAAACATCTGTGCTACCAAACCATTGCTGGATTCGCTGCCTAACGTTCAAATGTAATAACTCATAAGCGAAATTAGCACAGTTGCCATCACTAGTTGCTAAGAAGAACTGCTGATATAAAGGTTCGCCAGATCATTATTACTACTATTATGATTTTCGAACGGTGGCTGAGAAAAGGAATAATAATATGCGGAGCTCTGGAACCATCATCTAGAACATGTCATGCAGATCCCTGGTATTCTACTTCCCCTACTGGCGCTGAAAGTTCTGGTTTGAACCTGGGGTCCAGAATCAGGGATCAACCCGGACCGTGGCCACGTTCACTCTTATCCAACTGCTCTCAACGTTGGGACAATAGGACCGGATGATTTTGGGTTTGAACGTCTTTGTGGCTATCGCATCCTTTGCGCGGTTTCTGCTATTATAATAGAATTGTTCAATTGACTGAGAAGTGAAACAAGTCTTCCATGCAGAGAAAAGCTGCTTAAAAATGAGAAAGAATTGCTCTGTATCCTGAATTTGATCTAAAGCTGGATGGTGGAAAGAGAAAAATGAAAACTCGGAAGTAATAAATGATACTGAGAAATAGAAAAGAACATAGAATTTTCAAAAATTAAGATCGGATCATTAAGGTACTACCTTAGTACGTTAGATTGTGGGCCAACCTAATTTTCCACGGTCCCACCACTCTGCAGTCTCTGCTTGTAGCCCTGTTCCTTTATCCATTCCATCGTTCCACAGGTGCCCAAGGTACTAACTATCATTACTATTGAAAATTGATACTCAAAAGTGAACTTTCGAAAATCCTCAAATTACTGACTCCGCATCATAAGAAAAACAAAAAGTGAAAGGGTAAAATGAGAGAAAGCAGAGGATAATTAGAAAATACTCAAAGGATGATCTGACCCCAGGATTACGCTTCCTTTCCCCCCCACTCCTTCCCCACACTACATCTGGCACACATGACGTTGCTGACCACCACAGTCTTACTCAATACGGCGTAGTTCTTTCTATATCAAATGCATACTCCAACATGCATCTGATACCGTTT